AACAGTTCGTATCCTGAAAAATCTGCATGGTGGGGCATTCGTAAGCCGAGGTTCCACTGTACTTGCAACATCTGTCATATTGCTCCTCTTTCCACTCTATCATATTCCTTTTCTAAATCCATAAATGCAATGAAAACTTCCCTATCTTTATCTAAATACTGTTCACATATATGCTTCAATGTAAACACTTGGTCTACACATCCCCTACCTACTCTAAAACCTCCTAGCTCATCTGCAATCCTATATTCTGTCTTACCTCTAATTCTTTCAAGAATAACCCTACCATACACTTTTCCTGGTATACTCAGTAAACTAATTCCTCTATAATTTTTACAATCTATTTTGTCCCCCTTCCCTTTTTATAAAGGAACTATACATGCTCTCTGCCAATCCCTAGGTACCTTCCCCTCTTTCATACATTTATTAAACAAAAATACCAACCACTCTAACACTATATCCCCCCTGCTTTTAACACTTATGCCATGTTCCTGTCAGTTCCAGCTGCTTTACCCCTTTCATTCTACATAATGCCTCATGCACCTTCCCCAACACTCACATCCTGCTCTTCTTCACTCCTAAAAGATGGTATACATCCCTGGCCAATGCATGAAATTACCACTTCCCTTTCTTCGTCGATATTTAAAAGTTCCTCAAAATATTCCCGTCATCTACCCAATACCTCCAGTTCCCCATCTACTAACTCCCCTACTCTGTTTTTAACTGACAAATCCATTCGTTCCTTAGGCTTTCTTAACTTGTTTAACTCACTGCAAAATTTTTTCTTAATTTCATTAAAATTTCTTGACAGTGCCTCTCCCACTCTATCATCTGCTCTCCTCTTGCACTCTCTCACTGCTCTCTTCACCTTTCTTTTCCTCCCCATATACTCTGCTCTTCTTATAACACTTCTGCTTTGTAAAAACCTCTCATAAGCTACCTTTTTCTCTTTTATCACATGCTTTACTTCATCATTCCACCAATCACTCCTCTTTCCTCCTGCACCCTCCCTCCTATAACCACAAACTTCTGCCCCCACATTCTAATACTATTTATAGCAGATATAATAATAAGTGCAAAAATTATAGGGGGATAAGTCTGTTGAGTGTACCTGGTAAAGTGTATGGTAGAGTTATAATTGAAAGAATTAAGAGTAAGACGGAGAATAGGATAGCAGATGAACAAGGAGGCTTTAGGAAAGGTAGGGGGTGTGTGGACCAGGTGTTTACAGTGAAACATATAAGTGAACAGTATTTAGATAAGGCTAAAGAGGTCTTTGTGGCATTTATGGATTTGGAAAAGGCGTATGACAGGGTGGATAGGGGGGCAATGTGGCACATGTTGCAAGTGTATGGTGTAGGAGGTAGGTTACTGAAAGCAGTGAAGAGTTTTTACGAGGATAGTGAGGCTCAAGTTAGAGTATGTAGGAAAGAGGGAAATTTTTTCCCAGTAAAAGTAGGCCTTAGACAAGGATGTGTGATGTCACCGTGGTTGTTTAATATATTTATAGATGGGGTTGTAAGAGAAGTAAATGCGAGGGTCTTGGCAAGAGGCGTGGAGTTAAAAGATAAAGAATCACACACAAAGTGGGAGTTGTCACAGCTGCTCTTTGCTGATGACACTGTGCTCTTGGCAGATTCTGAAGAGAAGTTGCAGAGATTGGTGGATGAATTTGGTAGGGTGTGCAAAAGAAGAAAATTAAAGGTGAATACAGGAAAGAGTAAGGTTATGAGGATAACAAAAAGATTAGGTGATGAAAGATTGAATATCAGATTGGAGGGAGAGAGTATGGAGGAGGTGAACGTATTCAGATATTTGGGAGTGGACGTGTCAGCGGATGGGTCTATGAAAGATGAGGTGAATCATAGAATTGATGAGGGAAAAAGAGTGAGTGGTGCACTTAGGAGTCTGTGGAGACAAAGAACTTTGTCCTTGGAGGCAAAGAGGGGAATGTATGAGAGTATAGTTTTACCAACGCTCTTATATGGGTGTGAAGCGTGGGTGATGAATGTTGCAGCGAGGAGAAGGCTGGAGGCAGTGGAGATGTCATGTCTGAGGGCAATGTGTGGTGTGAATATAATGCAGAGAATTCGTAGTTTGGAAGTTAGGAGGAGGTGCAGGATTACCAAAACTGTTGTCCAGAGGGCTGAGGAAGGGTTGTTGAGGTGGTTCGGACATGTAGAGAGAATGGAGCGAAACAGAATGACTTCAAGAGTGTATCAGTCTGTAGTGGAAGGAAGGCGGGGTAGGGGTCGGCCTAGGAAAGGTTGGAGGGAGGGGGTAAAGGAGGTTTTGTGTGCGAGGGGCTTGGACTTCCAGGAGGCATGCATGAGCGTGTTTGATAGGAGTGAATGGAGACAAATGGTTTTTAATACTTGACGTGCTGTTGGAGTGTGAGCAAAGTAACATTTATGAAGGGATTCAGGGAAACCGGCAGGCCGGACTTGAGTCCTGGAGATGGGAAGTACAGTGCCTGCACTCTGAAGGAGGGGTGTTGCAGTTTAAAAACTGTAGTGTAAAGCACCCTTCTGGCAAGACAGTGATGGAGTGAATGATGGTGAAAGTTTTTCTTTTTCGGGCCACCCTGCCTTGGTGGGAATCGGCCAGTGTGATAATAAAAAAAATAAAAAATAATAATAAGCTTGATGAGCATAATTTGATTAGTGTCACTATGGATTCACAAGAGGTCATGCCTACGTGACAAATTTATTGCCTTTACATGAAGCATTTGAGACAGTGGACCATGACTGGTTTAAAAAGACACGTGAGCAAATACTGTGGAACCTCGGTACTCAAACAACTCTCTATTCAAACAAAGCTCAGCACTTAACCAAACAAACACGACCTGCCAGAACTTCGCTGTAAATTATCTTGTGTTTCTTTGCATTTTTTGGTGTTATTTTATATTATTTGTATAAATAAGTCACCAAGGGGCCTAAGAAATTAGTGATAAGAGCCAACCAAAAAGAAAATTGGTTGGGAAGAATTTGTTTGATACTCAAACGGATCAGCACTCAATCAGCCTTCTGGAATGAATTAAGTTTAAGTAATGAGGTTCCACTGTACTAGGACACATTTATTAGAAAACATTTCAGTCCTGGAACCAAAAGTGATCAAGTCCTAGGACCAAAATGTTTTCTAATAAATATGTCCTAGTGTTTGCTCATGTATCTTTTTAAACCACTTTGCTGGTATACCAAGGTTTATACCATGGAGTATGATGCTGTTGAAAAGAGTCTGCATATATGGGGTGAAATCAGAATGGGGACCAGTCACAAGTGCACTCCACAAGAATCACTTTTAGGTCCATTGTTGTTCATAATTTACATTAATGACCTGGACAAGGAAAAAACAAGTAACATGCATAAATTTGCTGATGTCACAAAAGTGGGGTGAATAATATATTCTCTGGAGGATACTATTGTAGCTCAGGCAGATTTGAACAAACTGATGTCATGGTCTGAAAAGTGATAGATGCAGTTCAGTGTCAATAAGTGTAAGGTCATAATCTCAAGGAGTGAAAAATGACCCTTATACTTTTAAACTAGGTGAAGTAGAGCTTCATCCTACAAAATGTGAAAGAACTGGTAATACAGTGGTACCCCGAATTTCTGCCATAATTCGTTCCAGAAGGCTGTTCGAGTGCCGTTACCATCAAATTTGTTCCCATAAGGAATAATGTAAATTAGATTAGTCCGTTTCAGACCCCCAAAAATACACTTACAAAAGCACTTACAAAAATACACTTACATAATTGTTCGAGTTGGGAGCTGTTCGAATTTCAAGGTACCACTGTACTTTTATTTGTTTCTTGCTACCTCATTGCTATAAACCTTTATAATTATAAAATTTTTGGCTACCACTCATTTGTATTAATATTAAATAAAATTTACCACTCCATAACCTATGTCTAGTTTTAAATAGTCTATAAGTATTAGTATTAGTCTGCCTGAAATGCTCAGGTATGCTAGTGGCTTTCTTTGTGCTTAACAATATTTTATAACACGTAAATCTCACATTGTATACTATGCATAAAAATAAAATTTGTATTTCTATGGAAAGTAGAAATCTAAAGCTAAGACAACAGTGCCTAAGTGTGTGCAATAAGGCTAACAGATTACTTGGATTTATATCAAGTATAAGTAACAGGAGTCCAAATGTTATTTTACAGTTCTGTATATCACTAGTAAGGCCTCACTAAGATTATACAACTCAGGTTTGGTTACCACATTGCAGAATGGATATAAGTGTATTAGAGAACATACAGAGATGGATGACAAAATTAGTCCACTGTATAAGGAATCTTTCATACAAAGATAAGACTGAAAACCCTGAACCTTCACTCTTTTGAGTGATGTAGAATGAGGGGAGATATCACCAAAGTAGACAAGTACTAGAAGACAGGTATAAACAAAGGCAATATAAATAAAGTACTAAGGATACCGGATCATGAAAGGATTCAGGAAAACACAAATAAAATAAATTTAGATTTAGAAACAATATAGGAATGCACTGGTTTTCAAACAGAATTGTTGATCAGTGGAACAATCTGCCAAGGGAGGCTTAATTAAAAATAGGTTAGACAAATCTATGTGAGTGAGAAAGTTTGGGTTTGATTAGGCCCTGCCTATTACGAGATATCAAAAGCTAACTTCTTGGGTAGTTTTGAGGACAGGTTGTTGAACAAATATGTTGGTGGGCATGGATGGATTTGGAAACATCTGCCTAGAATGGGCCAGTAGGCCTCCTGTGGTGCTCCTCTGTCTGTATGTTCTTATTTCATTGCCAGTTCTAAAGAAGATTATCGATAAGTTATATCAGTGCTAATGAAAAGTAGTTTTATTGTGTTGTGTGTAAATTTTTTACAAAAATCTTGATTATTAATTAATATGCACTGCCTCAGACTACAAATGAATTAATTACACTAACATACAAATGTTACAGATTTCAACATTATACAGGCATCATGAAGAATATTATTAGAGAAGAAAGAAGCATTTCACCTTTCCTCATAGGGTTCAACAGGCACTTCAGAGTGACATACTGCAAAAGTCTCAGTCTTCAACACAGCACATTTCTCAGCTGCCCACACTTTTCTGTGAGGATGTAGGCTGCATGTGTCCTGTGCAAGATAATTTATTTATTTATTATTATTATTATTATTATTATTATTATTATTATTATTATTATTAATTATTATTATCATTATTAATTATTATTTATTATTATTATTAATGATTGATTATTATTATTATTAGTAGTAGTAGTAGTAGTAGTTTTATTATTCATTATTATTATTTTTCATTAACACATCGGCTGTTTCCCACCAAGGTAGGGTGGCCAGAAAAAGAAAAATTTTCACCATCATTCACTCCATTACTATTTTGCCAGAGGTGCACTTACACTACAGTTATAAAACTGCAACATAAACACCCCTCCTTCAGAGTGCAGAAACTGTACTTCCCATCTCCAGGACTTAAGTCTGGCCTGCCAGTTTCCCTGAATCCCTTCATATATTACCCTCCTCACACTCCAACAGCATGTCAAGTCCTAAAAACCATTTGTCTCCATTCGCTCCTATCCAACATGCTCAAGCATGCTTGCTGAAGTCCAAGCCCCTTGCTCACCAAACCTCCTTTACCCCCTCCCTCCAACCTTTCCTAGGCCGACCTCTACCCCACCTTCCCTTCACTACAGATTTATACACTCTCGAAGGTTTCTATTTTGTTCCATCCTCTCTACGTCCAAACCACCTCAACAACCCCTCCTCAGCCCTCTGGATAACAGTTTTGGTAATCCTGTACCTCCTCCTAATTTCCAAACTACGAATTCTTTGCATTACATTCACACCACACATTGCCCTCAGACATGACATCTTAACTGCCTCCAGTCTTCTCCTTGTTGCAACATTCACCACCCATGCTTCAACGCCATATAAGAGTGTTGGTATACATTTCCCGCTTTGCTTCCTTGGACAAAGTTCTTTGTCTCCTCAGTGCACCACTCACCTCTTTCCTTTCATCAATTCTATGATTCACCTCATCTTCCATACACCCATTTGCTGACACGTCCACTCCTAAACATTTGAATACATTCACCTCCTCTATACTCTCTCCCTCCAACCTTATATCTAATCTTTTGTTGCCTAATTTTTTTGTTATCCTCATCATCTTACTCTTTCCTATATTCACTTTTAATTTTCTTCTTTTACATACCCTACCAAACTCATCCACCAACCTCTGTAACTTCTCTTCAGAATCTCCCAAAAGCACAGTGTTATCAGCAAAGAGCAACTGTGACAACTCACACTTTGTGTTAGATTCTTTATCTTTTAACTGCAAACCTCTTGCAAACACCTGAGCATTTATTTCTCTTACAACCCCATCTATAAATATACTGAACAACCACGGTGACATCACACATCCTTGTCTAAGGCCTACTTTTACTGGGAAATAATCTCCCTTTTTCCTACATACTCTAACCTGAGCCTCACTATCCTTGTAAAAACTTTTCACTGCCTTCAATAACCTACCTCCTATTCCATACATTTGCAACATCTACCACATTGCATCCCTGCCATATGCCTTTTCCAAATCCATAAATGCTACAAAACCTCTTTACCCTTATCTAAATACTGTTCACTTATATGTTTCACTGCAAACTCTTGGTCTAGACACCCTCTACCCTTCTTAATGCCTGCTTGTTCATCTGCTATCCTACTCTCTGTCTTACTCTTAATTCTTTCAATAATAACTCTACCATACACTTTACCAGGTATACTCAACAGATTTATTCCCCTATAATTTTTGCATTCTCTTTTGTCCCCTTTGCCTTTATACAAAGGAACTATGCATGCTCTTTGCCAATCCCTAGGTGCCTTATCTTCTTCCAAACATTTATTAAATAATAACACCAACCACTCTAAAACTGTAACCCCTCCTGCTTTTAAAATTTCTATCTTTATCCCATCAATCCCAGCTGCCTTACTTCCTTTCATTCTACCCACTGCCTCACAAACCTCCCCCACACTCACAGCTCACTCTTCCTCACTTCTACAAGATGTTATTCCTCCTTGCCCAATACACGAAATCACAGCTTCCTTATCTTCATCAACATTTAACACTTCCTCAAAATATTTCCTCCATCTTCCTGATACCTCTAACTCTCCATTTAATAACTCTCCTCTCCTATTTTTAACAATCAAATCCATTTGTTCCCTAGGCTTCTTCAACTTATTAATCTCACTCCAAAACTTTTTTTAATTTTCAACAAAATTTGTTGATAACATCTTACCCATTCTCTCATTGGCTCTCTTTTCATATTGTTTCACCACTCTCTTAACTTCTCTTTTCCTCTCCATATACTCCTTCCTCCCTTCCTTATTAGTTTTGTTAACATTATGATTATTATTATTCTTATTATTAATATTATTATTATTATTATTATTATTGTTCTTGTTGCTGTTATTACTATTACAATTATTTTTTCTTTGGCTCAAGGGCCATCTCATGCCAAGGCAGGTGACCCAAAGACAAAAAAAAAAAAAAAAACTTTGCCAACATTCATTCAATCTCTGTCAAGAATTGCAAAAAGTCCTTCATTCCATATTGTAGTTTTTTGGTGAATACGTAATTTTTTCCATTTTCAAGTTGTTAATAAAAAAATAAACTATGAAAAATAATTATTCAATAACTAAAAGCAAACATTAACTGTTAAATTAACTGTCTGATTAAAAATTTGACTTGCCTTTATCAAAATACTTTCAGGACAATAATTTTGCAACCTCCAAGAATCACCAAAGATCTTGACAGAAACTTCGCTGGAACCTCCGGACGGTGTCTGGAAGTCATCTTGCTCATCACCATTGTAGTTTCCACACAAACCCCTGACCTTCAATAACAAAAGAAATATCAAGTAAAAACTTATACCTACATAGTGTCCAGTAATATTAATTTTTGAGAATCAGCTACTTTCAAACAAACAACAAAACAAACAAAATTCCTTTCTGAGATTATGAAATTACAATAATGAGTTGCAGTGCAAAGAGAGCCACCATCATGCCTAGGCATTATGGGCAGACTTAATTTAATGGCTTACAGATTACTTAATACTAAAGAAATTGATCATAGTCTGTTTAAGCTGTACATCTTTTTTATATTTATAACTGACACTAATTTTACTCTAATTACAATAGTTTCAAAAATAAATATTGAAATTATATTATGGGAATATAACATTGTGAGTTGTTGAAATTAGTTTACAGTATGAGAATGCTACATGAAATTTACAAAAACCTACTGCCACATGATACATACTGCCATGAAAAATATATATAATGCTGCAGTGGCATGATTTACTATTATGACAAGTGTGCAGATATATTTTTATACAGTATTAAGCCACATTATAAGTAATGAACCATGTCATACACTCAGTAAACTACAGAAAAATATTATGTGAATGACTTTAAGGTCTATGGTATTCTATAAGTCTATGGGGGTAAAATCAAATACACCTTGAGTGATTTATGTGTATTTAACATTTGAATGGCATAGCTCTTAATTGCCTTTAAACCTAACCTCTTACATTTTAACTTGACCTGGATGACCTTACCTTTCCTTGCCAAACTGGATCCAGTCTAAGGTAGGCACGGGTTCCATGATCCCACTGAAGTACAAGGCCCATGTCAGTAACCTCAGCAAAAACAAATATCCCTGCCTCACGGATGATGGTTCGAGTCATATTTCTGGAAAAATAAGAGAAACACATAATTTACCTCACCAAATAAAATGATTCAAACAGTTTCACAAACATCAGCTATGAGTGAAATATACAAAGCGTGATAAATTCATGCACATCAAACAGCAATTAATTATTCAATGATATAGGTGACCCATGGCCTGGTGGCATAGCAATTGCTTCAAACACTAAAGGGTCCGGGTACAATTCCCAGCAAGGGTGAAAACATTGGGCATACTCCTTACACCCATCAGTAAAATGGGTACCTAGGTGTTAGCTGAATGGTGTGGGGGTCACATCCTGGGACAAAATTGACCTAATTTGCCTGAAATGCTCTGTATAACAAGCGTTTAGTAGGTGTCACTGATTTCAGCTAGGCCTGTATACCTTGTACATGTACAGTGCTACCTCAAGTTACGAACTTAGTTCGTTCCAAAAGGCTGTTCGAGTGCCGATGCCGAATGAATTTGTTGTCATCAGTATGGCCCGTGGTCTGGTGGCTAAAGCTCCCGCTTCACACACGGAGGGCCCGGGTTCGATTCCCGGCGGGTGGAAATTCCGACACGTTTCCTTACACCTATTGTCCTGTTCACCTAGCAGCAAATAGGTACCTGGGTGTTAGTCGACTGGTGTGGGTCGCATCCTGGGGGACAAGATTAAGGACCCCAATGGAAATAAGTTAGACAGTCCTCGATGACGCACTGACTTTATTGGGTTATCCTGGGTGGCTAACCCTCTGGGGTTAAAAATCCGAACGAAATCTTATCTTATCTTATCAGGAATAATGTAAATTAGATAAGTCCATTTCAGACCCCCAAAAATACGAAATTAAAAGGGGGAAAGCAGCTGGAACTGAGGGGATAAATCCCAAAAAATTTTTAAAAGCAGGGGGATTTTATTGTTGGAGGGGTTTTGGAAACATTTGTTTAATAAATATATAAAAGGGGGAAAGGTACCTAGGGATTGGCAGAGAGCAAAAATCCCCCCCCTTTTAAAAAAGGAAAAGGGGCCCGGGAAGAAATTTGAAAAAAAATTAAAGAGGAATAAGTTTACTGATATACCGGGAAAAAGGGTGTAGGGTGGGGTTTTATAATTGAAAAATTAGAGGTAAGACAAATGTAGGTTTTGCATGAGCAAGGGGTTTCAGAGGGGGTAGGGGATGTGTAGATAAGGGTTTACATTGAACATATTTTTAAACAGTATTTAGATAAAGATGGGGAAAAGTTTTTATTGCATTTAGGGATTTAGAAAAGGCAAAAGAAGGGGAATAAGGAGAAATTTGTGGCAAAAGTTTCCCAAGTAATATGGAATAGGTGGTAATTAAACAAAAATTTTTGGAAAAGAGCTTTTATGGGGAAATATTGAGGCTCGGGTTAGGGTTATTTTAGAAGAGAGGGGGGAATATTTCCCCCGGTAAAATTGGTTTTTAGACAGGGATTTTGTAAGTCACCAAGGTTGTTTAATATATTTATAGAGGGGGGTTGTAAAAGAAGTAAATGCTAGGGTTTTGGGGAGAGGGGGGGTTTAAATTAGGGGAATCAAATTCAAAAGGGGGAATTGACACAGTTCCTTTTTGCTGATGATACTGTCTTTTTGGGAGATTCAAAAAGAAAAATTGAAAAGGGGTTAGTGGGGGATTTAGAAAATTTGTGTGTAAAGGTTGAAAGTTAAAAAGGGAACATAGAAAAAAAGTAAGTGATGGGGGTTATCAAATGTTTTAATAAAAAAAAATTTGGAATAAAATTTGGGGGGAGGGGGATTTATGGAAGAATTTGAATTTTTTCCCAAAATTTTGGGGAGTTAAACGTGTCGGTGGAGGGTTTTAATAAAGGGATAGGTTAATCATAAAATTTGATGGGGGAAAAAAGGGTTTAAAGTGGCGTTGAGGTAAAATGTGGATTAAAAAAAACGTTATCTAGGGAACCAAAAAAGGGGAATGAAATTGAAAGAAATAGTATCCCAAACACTTTTTTTAAAAATTGGGGATGTAAAGGGCTTGGGTGGAAAAATGCAGCAGCGGGGAAACCCGGTTTTGGAGGCAGGGAAATTTTTCCCCTGTCTAAGGGAAATGTGTGGGGTAAAAAATTTTTCAAAAAATTTCGAGTGTGGAAATTAGGAAAGGGTTTTTGGAATTTTTTAAAACATTAGTCAGAGGGCAAAGAAGGGTTGTTGAGGGGGTTTTTGGGTATTTAAAGAGAAAGGGATCAAAATAGAATACAGGGAAAAAGCATATAAATTTTATGGGGGAAAGGGAAAAGGGAGGGGTGGGGGTCGTCCCCGAAAGGGAGGAAAGACGGGGTAAAGGAGGTTTTTTGGGCGGGGGGTTTTGGCCCTTCCCAGCAAGCGTCATGAGCTTTTTAGATAGGAGTGAATGGAGACGAATAAACTTGGGACCTGACGATTTTTTTTGGGAGTTGGGGAAAGGGAAATATTTAGTAAAAGGGGTCGGGAAAACCCCGTTTTTTTTTCATAAAAGTCCCCTTGGGGCCCGGGGAAAGGGGAAGTACAATGCCTGCATTTTAAAAGGGAGGGGTTTTTGGGATATTGGCATTTGGGGAGGGAAAAGTTTTGTATTTTTATACGTAAATCCCTTCTAAACTGTTTATTCTGAAGCTCGAAAAAGGCATTTGAAAAATTGTGAGTGGGGGGGGGAAAAAGGGGTTTGAATTATGATAAAATATTTTTTTTTTGGGGATTTTCTTTTTTTTTTGGGGTTTCACCCTGCCTCGGGGGGAGAACAAACCGACTTGTTTAAAAAAAAAAAAAAAAAAAAATATATAAAATATAATAAAACGGTAAAATATACAGTGGCCCCCCCCGGTTTAACAAAATTTTTTTCACCCAGAAGTATGTTCGGGGTGCCATACAACCAAATTTAAAGTTCCCCAAAAAGGAATATTGTGAAGTAGATTAGCCCCATTTCAGCCCCCCAAACAAAACACAACAAACGATTTACATAAATAAACTTACATAATTGGCCCGCATTCGGAGGTAAACGTTATGGGGGGGGGGTCCACGTATATTTAAAATATATATATATATATATATATATATAAAAAATAATATATATATATTATATTTTTTTTTTTTTTTTTTTTCCTCTTTTTGGGCGTCTCCCACCGAGGCGGGTGACCCAAAAAAAGAAAAAAACCCCCCCCAAAAAAGAAAATATTTTCATCATCATTCAACACTTTCACCACACCACACTTTATCCCTGTTTTTTTGCAGAGGGGGCTCAGAAACAACATTTTTAAACATATCGTATAAAGAAAACCAAAACCCATATCCCCCCAAACTCCCCAAATATATAAAATAATATAAAATATTTTTTTTTTTTTTTTTTTTAAAACACACGGCCGTTTCCCCCAAAAAGGCAGGGGGGGGCCCGAAAAAAAAAAAATTTTCCACCATCATTCATTTTCCCCCCCCCTTTGTCTTGCCAAAAGGGGTTTCTTTACACAAAAATTTTTTAAAACTGCAAAAATTAACACCCCCCCTTCAGGTCAGGCACTTTTCTTCCCATCTCCAGGCCCAAAAGTCCGGCCTCCCGGGTTTTCCCCCCTGAACCCCTTTCATAAATTTTAAACTTTGCTCACACTCCAACAGCACTCAAGAAATTAAAAACCTTTTGTCTCCATTCACTCCTTTTCAAACACGCTCACGCTTTGCCTCCCGGGAAGGGCCAAAGCCCCCCCCCCCGCCCCACAAAACCCCCTTTTAAAAACCCCCCTCCCCCCAACCCCTTTCCCCTAGGCCAACCCCACCCCGCCTTCCTTCCCACTAAAACGAACACTCTTGAAGTCTTTTCTTTTTTCAAATCCTTTCTCTCTACATTTTCCAAACCCAAACCTCAACAACCCTTCCTCACCCTCGGGACAACGTTTTGGGTAATCCCCCCCCTCCTCCTAATTTCCCAAAACTACGAATTCCCCTGCTTTAAATTTTTCACACCACACATTGCCCTCAAAACATGACATCTCCACTGCTCCACCCCTTCTCCTGGGTGAACATTCATCCCCCAAAACGTTTTCACACCCTTATAAGAGCTTTGGGTAAAAAATCCCTTTTCATAAAATTCCCCTCTTTGCCTCCAAGGAAAAAGGGTTTTTTGTCCCACAACTCCAAAGGGTGCCCACCACTTTTTTTTCCCCCCCACAATTTTTATGATTCACCTCACTTTCTAACCCATCCGCTGACACGTCCCCCCCCCCAAATATATATATATATATATAAAAATATATATATATATATATATATATATATAATATAATAAAATATATATATTTTTAAATTTTTAAATATATAAAATTTTTATTTTGGGGTCTTTTAAAGTTTAGGTGAATCATAAAAATTATGAGGGAAAAAAAAGGGTGGTGCATTTAAGCCCTGTGGGGGCAGAGAACTTTGCCCTTTTGAGGCAAAGGGGGGAAAATGTATGAGATATATTTTAAAAACCAACGCTCTTTATATGGTGTAAAAGCAGGGGTGATGAATTTTTTGCGCGAGGAAAGGCTGGAGGCAGGGGAAAAAGTCATGTGGGGGGGGGGGGAATTGTGGGTTGAATAAAAATGCAGAAAATTTCCCGTATTTTGGAAAGTTGGGAGGAGGTGCGGGATTCCCAAAACTTTTTGTCCAAAAGGGCCCGGGGAAAGGGTTTGTTGAGGGGGTTTCCCGGACATGAAAGGGGAGAAGGGAGCGAAACAGAAAACTTAAAGATGTATCGGGTCGTAGGGGAAGGGAAAAGGCGGGGAAAAGGGGTGGGGCCTAGGAAGGTTGGAGGGGGGGGGAAAAGGGAAGGTTTTTTTTGCGGGGGGCTTGGACTTCCAGCAGGCATGCGTGAGCGGTTTAAATTGGGAAATAAAAGGAACAAATGGTTTTTAATACTTGACGTCTTTTGGAGTTGACCCAAAGTAACATTTAAGAAGGGTTTTCCGGGGGAAAACCGGCAGGCCGGCCCCTTGGCCCTTTGGAGATGGGAAGTACGGCCTGCACTCTGAAAGGAGGGTG